AATTAAAACCAAACCCCCAAATGTTCATTGTCAGCTCAAACCTACACAAATAACAAAATTAATTTAGGACTTTTCTTGTAAATCCTATAACTTTGCAAAGAAAGATCGTGTAAAGCTGGGAGATGTCTCATTTTAATCAGAAATTTGCATGGATCAATTATGTCTCGTTAAGAAAGGTTTGGGTTATATCTTAGAGTTTCTGAAAAATTGACTTTCCCGAAAAACGCTCTCTGAAAGTCCCTGAGCACGTACCACTATGATATTTGGATTCAGCATAGTTGACAACCTATAACCCACCAGATTTGGCTGAAAAAGCGATGTGACAGTTCGCGAGGTCCTCTCGTAAGACATTTTTAATAAACTCTCACTAGAATTTCAATCTCTGAAAAATGCGATAGATTTGAAGATTAGTAGACTTCGAAAATTCAATCGTTGAGATAACATGTGTTTGATCTTTTCTATTACTCGTTCGTATGAGAAAATTCTGTTCTATTTCCTTCCTTTGTCATATTCTTGTCATTTTCTTGTACTTCTTTTTCTCCAACAAAAATATATCAAGTTCAAGTTTATCGAAACCATATCCTTTAAATTGATAAATGTTCGTTTTAATGGTGGTAATGTAAACAATAAAAACGATAGAACATGTTAGTGTACTCGCCTTGAACGAATACCTACGTTAATGATCAATGTCAAATTCGACAGAAAAATGTTTTAATTGATAATGATACGTTTGCATTTTTCAGAAGATAGATAAAAGAAATGTTAAAAAGGAAAAATTGAAGATATCGTTATCAACGATTCACTTTCTCATGAAAAATATTATTTTCAAAGATTAATCTAAGGATTGAATGAATAACTTTAATGACTTGTTTATCTATCGTTATCAAAAATAGTATTAAATGAATTACATTGCATCAAGTGAATAAGAAAAAAAAACAAAATATGATAAGAAAGACTAAAAACAGTAAATGTCACAAGAAAGAACTATGTACGCAAAATAATCTGATCGCCAATTGAAAAAACAAATTATTTTTTTCGAATAAATAAATAAATAACAGTATATGACAAAAAATACATGCTGTTTTAAAATGGAACAGCAGCAATGACTATAATTGCAATAAGTAAAAGAACAACAATAAGCCACATCCACGTTGTTGTCGCTTTTCTATCGATTATTTTAATTAAATTTGTTTCTCGTTTAACACGTGAATCAAGTAACGATGTGTGTTCAGTAACAACTGTAATAATTTCTAAAAATAAACGATTTTAATTAGTTTTGTTTAATACTTCTCTCATTCTTCTTCTTTTACTTACCATTATGACGGTCAACTTCACTATTCATTGCAATACCCATTTCTTTTTGTCTTTTTACAACAGAATGTAAGGCATCAATTGCTTCATCATTTCCTACAATAAAAAAGAAAACAATCAATAATTTTACTTAAAGTTTATTCACTTTTTCCATTTACCTTTTCGAAGAGTCGAATGCATATTTGAAAATTCATCATTTGTTAACTGTAGTGTTTCATCAGTTTCAATTCCGGCAATAGATCGAGGATCCGTCTTTGGTCTCGTCCTTAAAACAAAACAGAAATATGATGGTGATATATGACGAAAAAATAAAGACAAATTACCATTCTGAACTGAGCGAATCCTGTGCTTGTTGCTTAATTTCTTTTTGGGATTGTTGAACATTATCAATTAATGTTCGTCGACGATTTGCTTCTCCATCGGTACTAGATAGTACATATAAAAATAATAATAAATATTGTTGTTCAATCATACTCACATTAAACCAGTTTTGGCATGTAAAGTCAAATCTTTTGATAGTTTCTCTACATCTTTATCAAACGCATTAGTCATTGTTCGAATAGTAACATTCATCTATCAACATAAATATTAGAGAATACTGAAAAATCTCTATTGAGACATTAGAAATCGTTTACTTTTGCACGCTGCGCACTTCCATTCGGTAATAATTTTAGTTCTTGTACTTTTTGAAAAATTTCTTGTGCATATTTTGTACAACTTTCATGTTCCTGGAGCCTTGAAAAGACAAGAAAAATTTTATTTGAAAGAGAAAGTATCCACATGAAAGAAATTAGAATAAAAGAAGATGATCCTCTTTGTCGGTTTATATTAACAAAGGCGACTATAAGTTTCAGAGTGATTTTTGATGCCAAAACGGGATATGTATGAGCTTATAGAGAGAGGCTTGCTCTATCCAGCGGTGTATATACTGTGGAATTCCTAATGTACACCGCCAGGGAAAATTAAAGGTAATGTCTCTTTTTTTTAGATCTTTTTTTAGAAATTTTTTTATTTTTCAGTTAAATATTGTGCATTATAGAGTAAAGTGTCCTCTACAAAATAAGACCATTCCCAGCTCTCCAAGGCCTTCTGTAGAGGAGGTACGAATTTTTTAAAGCCTGTTACTTTACGCTGCAAAAAAGCTATTTGTTTACTTTCGAAACTTGTTTCTCTTCCATTCAGTACTTTGATAAACTTTTCAAACAGTGAGTCTTGTAGAGTAAACAGCTTGTCCAAACGTAACGCAATGACGTTTTTGACCTAGTATTTTCAAGTTTTCTCGAAAAATAGAACTATTAGAAAGTTCGTTCTTGAGTCATTCGATGCAGCTCATCAAGCCCTACTTATTTTGAAAGAATGAAGTCGTTGGGTCTGATTCTTGAGGAGTGAGAGAGATTCTACGG